GAGGAGTTGCTATGTGCTAAGCAATGTTCTAGGCCCTGGGAATAAAGCAGTGAACAAAACAAAGAAAATTCTTACTCCATTAGAGCTTATGTTTTAGTTGGGAGAGATAAATAATAGACAAATAAACATATGGTATGCATGAAGAAAAATAAAACAGAGCCAGGGGATAAGGAGTATGGGGGTAACGGCTATTCTTGATAGGATGGTTAGAGCAAGCTTCTCTGAAAAGTTGACACTTGAACAAAGACCTCAGAGGGTTTAAGAAGTGAGCATCGCCAGGCACAGTGGCTCACACCTGTAATCCCAGCACTTTGGGAGGTCGAGCTGGGCAGATCATGAGGTCAGGAGATCGAGACCATCCTGGCTAACATGGTGAAACCCCGTCTCTACTAAAAATACAAACAATTAGCTGGGCGAGGTGGCGGGCGCCTGTAGTCCCAGCTACTTGGGAGGCTGAGGCAGGAGAATGGCGTGAACCCGGGAGGCGGAGCTTGCAGTGAGCCGAGATTGCGCCACTGCACCCCAGCCTGGTCAACAGAGCCAGACTCTGTCTCAAAAAAAAATAATTATTATAGTAATAAAATAAAAATAAAAAAAGAAGTGAGCATCGCCCATTGTTACTAAGACTGTTGTGCTTAAATGTCAGTGATTTTTTTTTGAGACAGGTCTTTGTTATATTTTAGTGAACATACAAAGACACATGTACAAAACTTCATAGGTTTACTTTTTCTGAAACATTTTATTACAAAAGTTTTCAAACATTTGTTACAGTGCACACCTACACACTCACTACCTAGATTCTACCATGAATATTTTATCATCCTTGCTTATTACCTGTCTGCCTATGAACCTGTACCTCTCCCATAATAGGTTTAATTTTAATTTTGGTGTCTTTATCCTTTATTCTGTACATTGTGAAGCTAATCACTTGTGATTTCCTTTTGCCACAGAGGTTTCCAGAAAGTTAATTCATGAGTAGGAAGAAATTTTGTATTCATTTTTGTATTATTGGTGTGTATTTTAATTTTATTTCATTTGGTTTTTTCCATGCAGTTCCTCAATCCATTTGGAATCAATTTGGGTTGTAATATAAGGCAAGGGTCTTGCTTTTGTTTGTTTATTTCCTGTACAACTGGTTTCCCCAACATTTGTGGCCTTTTGCTATGTGAGCTGGTCTTTTTTTTTTTTTTTTTTAATAATACAAGTTTTTGACCGGGCACGGTGGCTCACTCCTGTAATCCCAACACTTTGGGAGTCCGAGGCAGGCAGATCGCCTGAGGTCAGGAGTTCGACCAGCCTGGCCAATATGGTGAAACCCCATCTCTACTGAAAATACGAAAATTAGCCAGGTGTGGTGGTGGGTGCCTGGAATCCCAGCTACTTGGGAGGCTGAGGCAAGATAATTGCTTGAACCTGAGGTAGGAGAATTGCACCACTGCACTCCAGGCTGGTGACAGAACAAGAGTCCATCTCAAAATAATAATAATAATAATAATAATAATAACAACAACAATAATTCCAGTTTTTATATAAGCTTGGTTGTTTTTCACAATGTGTCATCTATGTTCACTTGATTTGGCTATTTATTTTGTTAGCACCTCACTTTAGCAATTTCATTTCATGATACATTGTAATATGTGGCTAGGCAGTCACCCCAATTTTCCTTTTTAAAATTTTCTTACTTGTGCTGTGTATTTTGTAAATGAATATTAAAGTCACCCATGTTCTAAGGCCTTGTTGCAAGTTTAATTAATATTCACATTTCTTGCTTTTTTGAAAGGAGTCTTTCCGTATCTGTAAAAGAAGGATAAAAATAGAAGTCTTTTGATAGGATTATTATATGGATTAAATAATATACACGTGAAATGTTTAATATGGCTTATCAACTCAGAGCTTTTTCTGACTTTACAGAAGACTCTAAGATTTATTTGGGCTCTACCTAATTGTAATTCATTTCTGGAGTTTCCCAGATCCATTTTTAAGCAAGAAAAAGATAACTTTGGGATATTACCAATTCAGAAATCAAGCACATTGGAGGAGGAAAAGTGACAGCAACACCCAAGAAATGTCTCCCTACCCTTGTTGCAGGATCCTCTAGTATTGTTATGACTAAATGTCCCGCAGAGTCCTCTACCCTCAACCCCACTTCTGCAATGCCCATTCTGCATAGCCAGCAGTGGTCTGGGGTTCAGATTGACGTTCACACTCACGTGTCACAATAGACTGGAATCTGGCACCAGTTTTACTTAGCTTTATATAAGGATGCAGGACAGGAAACAGTGTATCGACATTACAGCATCAAACACATCTTCATCGGGGACCTTCCCACCACCTATGCGTGGCTTCCCAGCCCACAGAAGACACACTCAACCACTGGTGATGAGAATAAGCGGGAGCTTATGGACCACCCCAGCATGGGAAGCTGAGTGCAGGAACTGTCCCTTGTAACAGCCTGTGAGCATGGCTTCCAGGGGCCTGCATGCCGGCTCATATGTCTCAGTCCAAATGCAGCTCACTTCCAGGAGGAGTTTTCACAGCACCTCACCCACCTGCCACGCCACAGTCATCTTAGCCCAGTACAGTTCAAGGATATGGTATAAGAAATAGTTACATCTGGGATCACCTTCTCGTGGAGAAAAGATGTAACCTGCTATAGGCCCTTTCTCCTCACCACACCACTCCCAGTGTCTGGTTCTCTTCCTGTCACTGCTGTTTTCTAGCAGGAATAGGCTTTAGAACCTCCTCACATCACTGAGGAAAGCCCGTGGCACTCTGTTTACCAAGACAACAGGGAGCCTTAGTGATATTCCTTCCACGTACCTTTTGTTTTCACAGGGTGGGGCAAGATACTCCTCGTCATCTGCTAGGGTCTCCTGCTGCTGCCTCTGGCCATACAATTTTCATTCAGGAAAAGGAGAGGTTTAGGCCATCACTGTCGTTCTCCAAGCTCCCTCATCAGCACTGTTTTCCACCGACATTCTTTCAGATTTCTACTCAATTTCTCCCAATGTGGTCTCTGCCTCATCTGAATTTAAAATTCTAGCTCCCTGCATGTGGTCTCCTTGTGCTCTTCTTCCCAGACTTGGCATCTCAGCAGAGCCATTTCTGTTTTTGTGTACTTCTCCTTTTGAGGATGAACCCACCATGGTGGACATTTCTCCTTTCTGTCTTCACAGGACTGACTGTTCTTTCCCCAGCGCCTGGTATTGAGTAGATTTCCAATACACGTTGAAGTGTTCTTAAGGTTTAAGAAGTAATAGATGGTGCAGACTCAGTTTGCTAAGATGATATCAGCCAAAGTGCATATATTTCTACCCTGATTCAACAAAAGTAAATGTCACAATTTGCTTATCTCGACCCTGATCCTTTATGCAAAGATTTTTTCCTGCAAAAAGTACAGTAAAGGTAGAGAAAATGGGAAAAGCTATGTTTATTTTTCCCTGAGAAACAGGATTCCCAGTTTCGCTCTCAGACATGCCTGTGTCTGATCTGAGAAGAGAATTGTCTATTAATGCCAAAAACCCAGACAAGCAGTGAGCAATGGGAGAGTATTAAAGAATCAAAAAGCAGAGAGGGTGTTGCTTTTTTCTTTCCTTTCTTTCCTTGTTTTACCAACATTTTCTTGGGTTCCCAGAATTAAGTGCTAGAGGTAGAATTAACTTTGAGATTAACAATGCTGCTGGAATCTTTTGTAAAAAATTACAGTTTCATTATCATTTCACTGATTCTCAGTGGCTACTTGATGAAGCATCTGGCCTATTTTCTGTATGCTTGCCTTGGAATGAGGGAGTTTAACAGTAGCTCACGTTAATTGAGCATTTGCTATGTGCTAGGTACTATGTTAAGTACTCTACAGGTCTTATTTAAGCATCATAATACCCATTTTACGTAGGCACTGATGTTATGCCCATTTTACAGGTGAGAAAACTGAGGTACAACATTTAGTTATCTCGGGGTCACACAAGGTCAAGGCAGAGCCAGTGTTGGACTCAGTCTGACTCCAAATTCTATGTTATAACTCACCAAATTCTATATTATGTAATATAGAATTATAACTCCAAATTCTATATTATAACTCAGTATATAATGTATACTGTCTCTTATACACTAATTATCTGTGTTTATTCCATAACGATTATTAATATTTTAATGCACAATAGGGAATCTTTTTGCAAACCCAATTAATGGAGTAACTGTCTTCATATATATTGTGTTAAGGTTCTTAATTTCAGTCATTCCCTTCAATATCTCTTATTAAATTTTTGATCTGGATGTTAAGAGGGAGAAGGGTACACTTGGATTGGATTGATTTCTTCTGTAACCTTAGAATAAATTTCTCATCAAGAAACTTTATTACCATCTTACGTTTTTACTTTCCATAATAAATTGTGGACTTTACTCCATCTCTGAGCTCTACCTGCCTCATAAGGCTTGTCTGGCTGTTTTATAGCAGCAAACAATGAAGCAGATACTTTTACCCCATGAAAATCCCCAGCTCTAGTGCTCATTTCCAGATGTCAAGAGTTGAACCATCTCCAAGTGGGTCTGACCCCACTTGTCTTGGTGGACTTCCCTCTGCATTCCCATTCACTTACCTGAATTTGTTAAGAGTGTTTTATGTTGTGAAATCTTTAATCATAGAGTCTAGTCTATATATGGGATGTCTAATCTAGCCTCAAGCTTTTCCTTTTTTCCCCCAGCGAAATATTTGGGATGGTAGCCTCCAACCAGGATTGACTTATACTGAAAAAATGAGCCAACATTTTTTGTTACTGCTCATTTGAATTTCAGAAATTTGACTTCATGGTATCTCATTCTAAATATTTTTTCAACAGTATTGAGGTATTATTGATTCATGTTAAGTATTTATATCTCTCTTTCACTTGTGGTTCAGTTTCAAAGTGTATTTCACCGTGTTGTTGTTGTTGTTGGTTTTGTTTTTGTTTTTGTTTTTTGGTCATCCTCTGGTTGTTTTAACAGCAAGTTTTGTCTGCTTACAGGAGAATATTAAAAAGTGAGCCTCCATATCCCCAAGAAATGAGTGCTTTAGCTAAAGACCTAATTCAGCGTCTTCTGATGAAAGATCCCAAGAAGAGATTGGGATGTGGTCCACGTGATGCAGATGAAATCAAAGAACATCTCTTCTTTCAGGTGAAATTATTGAATAGATAAATGGTTTCATACTCCTTGCCATTTTCAAGGTCGTTGGCATTCTTGTGAAATTAGTGAACACAGTCCCCTTTGGATCATCTTCCACTGGCATTTTCACATACATTGCACCTTTTGTTTGTTTTTTTGTTTATTTGAGACCGAGTCTCGCTCTGTCGCCCAGGCTGGAGTGCAGTGACGCGATCTCGGCTCCCTGCAAGCTCTACCTCACGGGTTCACGCCATTCTCCTGCCTCAGCCTCCCGAGTAGCCGGGACTACAGGTGCCCGCCACCATGCCTGGCTAATTTTTTTGGTATTTTTAGTAGAGACGAGGTTTCACCGTATTAGCCAGGATGGTCTCCTGACCTCGTGATCCACCCACCTTGGCCTCCCAAAGTGCTGGGATTACAGGCGTGAGCCACCGTGCCCAGCCTTTTTTGTTTGTTTTTAACGATAGGGACCCTTTAGGTAGGGTCAAACTCTCCTTGTATAAACATAAATGGTCTTTTTCTCCCTCAATGGAGCAGGAGTGGGGAGGATCATAATAGCATTCAATTTTCTACATACTCATTAGAGTTTCTAGGGGGTGGTTTCCATTTATGATCTTGAGATCTAGCCATATGGACTAAGGAGACTTTTACTGTACTTTTTACTTCTGTTTCAGTTCATGAGCTATTACCGCCACTATGTTTCACCTTTTAGATAGTGATTTCATCACTTCCTCTTTTCCCAGAAGTAATCTTTAAAAATTTTAGATTTACCTATTTCTCAGTTACATATTCATGACACAAAGAGAGTTATTCATTTATTTCCTTTGTCCTGTGACAGTGCTTCTCTTATTCTGAAAAAGCCTAATGAGACCATTCTACTGAGGACCAACATATCTGCTCAGTTTAGTACAAAAAAAACACCAAAATATTAAACTTCTGGGAAAAAACATTTAACTGAGTTGGCTCGTTATTTCCAGCCTCATTCGTCAAAACTGGGGATGCCATGGCTTTGATTTCTAAAACTCTGGAGATACAACTTTTAAATAACTTCATCTTATCAATAAGCCTGACCTAAATATTTATGGTCTAAAGGGACCATCTAGGTTTTATTTTTTATTCTGTAAATTAAACTTTTACATGATTATCACCAAAACAAATGAAAATAATATATCAAAATGAAGAAAATCTCTTTTGTCAGTTAAGCTTCATGTTGTTATTTATTATTTTTTAAATATATAAAAACAAATATTGGTTAGAAATGAGAATTATCTCTGCACTTCTATGCTCAAAAAAAGGCATATTTTTCTTAGTCTGTCAATATAATTATTTTTTTTAAATACTGCACATCTTACAGAAGTTCAGTAACATAGTGAGAAATATATTTAGAATAAAATAAACCTCTCATATGCATTTCATAGATTCACATGGCTTGGAAGGATTACTCTTTGAACAAACTTTCAAATATCTTGTTCAGAAGTTTATCTCAAAAGTTAACAGTAAAATTTAAGAAACAAGTCAAGCAAAGTACCCCCGACCATATTTTCCTAAGATCTTTTTCTCCATGGCTCCCTGTATTTGGGAATATTGCAGTTTGTCTTTCATATTAGAGAAATTTCTCTTTTCAGTAGCTTGGAATAGTAATTTTAGATTACTTAATTGCCTTGACGTTTTAAATGATAAGGACACTTTTGGAAAGACCAGAATTCTACTTGTAAAGGCCTAAATGGGCTTTTTCTCTGTAAGTGGTGCGGAGGTGGAAAGGATCATAATAGCATTCCATTTTCTACATATTAAACATTCTCCTGCTAACAACCTGTTTCTTTAAATTACCCCTTTCCTCTAGAAGTTTCTTTTAATATATGTACAATAGCCAAGCACAAGTTATGTGCTTGTAATGGAAAACATTACAGCTGCAGAGAGAAAAAAACACTAACTAGAAAGTCAAGAGACTATGTTCAAATCCTGACTCTTCCATCAACTGCGTTTGAGTGAAAAGGTTATTTCTTATTTCTCGGCCTCAGTTTCACTGGATCAAATAAAGGAGATGAACTAAATGATCTCAATTCCATTTTAGCTGAGAAATTTGGAGATCTGTAATTTAATTATTTTGTTTCTATTTCATCTACAAGACAACATAATAAAAACATTTTATGGTAATTGATTAAACTTACTGAATTTTATCAACCAAGAAGTGCACATTTTCATATTTTACTGTCACTGAAATCAGTATGCATGTTACAATGACCATCACCTTATATTCTTATGATTAATACTTTTTTCTTCTTAATGATACATAAAATAATTGTGTATCTTACTATCAGTAATGGCATCTTAGATTTGAAGAAATATGGTAGTAGGAGATCTGTAGGATATAATTCAGTAAGTGTTACCTGAGATTGTTTTAAATGATAGAAGGAACACAAAGAAACAGAGTAAAGGGTTGGATTTCAGTAATATAACTCAGTAAGTGACCTAGAGGGAAAAGGGGCTTGCATTATTCTATGGGGGATGTAAGAGGTAGTGTTTAAAATGCTTGAACACAGTTGAATAAGTGATCACATCCGTATAATGGTATCATTTGAACTTCTAGACATAGGCACATGCATGATTACTTATTTTCCAGTCTGTCCGGATGCCCAGGAGGAAAAGCAAGTGCAGGCGGAGAGCTAAGTAACACTGCCTCTAGAAAATAGGATTGTTCCTTTAGAGCTAATATCCTCATCTGTAGAGCATTTGGAAACCCTTTATTTCAGTTTTTTATTTTGTTTTGGGTTTTTTGCTTGTTTTCTTTTTGGCTTAGCACCTTTCTGAAGAGGCTCAGGACAAAAGTATTTTTCTGTTATCTTTAAAGGTAAACTAGGGTGTCTTGGTGCCCTCCAGAGGACACTCTGAGATTCAACAGCGATAGTCTCATCTTTGAGGCACAGCATTGGTTGGAGCTATAAACTGCTGTGATCTTGCTTGGAAAAAATACATTTTTTATTATTGATGTAAAATATGTTCCCTTATTTTTATCCTCTCTCCCTACCAGTCAAAATCCTAATTTATCTTTGCTATTCTTAGAAAATACGTTTTGACTGTTGATTTCTACTTTGTACCAACTTTCTTTGTTTTAGAAAATAAATTGGGATGATTTAGCCGCCAAAAAAGTGCCTGCACCATTTAAGCCGGTCATTCGAGATGAATTAGACGTGAGTAACTTTGCAGAAGAGTTCACAGAAATGGATCCCACTTATTCTCCTGCAGCCCTGCCCCAGAGCTCTGAGAAGCTGTTTCAGGTAATTTCCCAGCCTGTGCACATGTACATTGGCCATATGTCCTTTGAAAGAAAAGATTAAATTTCCCATATTGAAGTAGTTTTGTTGGCACCGTAAAAACGGGATTCTTTAATATCTTCTAAATTATTAAGTGCAGAAATATTGCAGATCGTTAACCGAAGCTTATAGTTTGCTCAATAGCAGATATTGTTGATGTGATTATTTTTGATATAAGGGAAGTTTTAATTTTATACCTGAAATTTTATTTTTGTTCAGACTCTTTTATAGAAAATACAATAATCTTTTATTTTATCTCTATTCATATTAAAAAATTTTTTCTTTATGCATACAGGGTCTCACTCCGATGACTGGAGTGCAGCAGTGCTGTCCTAGCTCACTGCAGCCTCAGACTCCTGGGCTCAAGCAATCCTCTCACCTTAGCCTCTGGGATAGCTGAGACCACAGGTGCAAACCAGCACACCCAGCTAATTTTTCTATTTTTTGCAGAGATAGGGTCTTGCTATGTTGCCTAAGCTGGTCTTGAACTCCTGGCCTCAAGTGACCCTCCTGCCTTGGCCTCCCAAAGTGCTGGAATTACAGGCATAAGCTACCACATCCAGCCTTGGCCTCCCAAAGTGCTGGGATTACAGGCATGAGCCACCACGTCCAGCAAAAAAAAAAAAATTTTTTTTTTTTAAAAACAAGGTCTTACCCTGTCACCCAGGCTGGAGTGCAGTGGTATGATCATAGCTCGCTGCAGCCTTTAACTCCTTGGCTCAGGGGATCCTCTTGCCTCAGCCTCCTGAATAGCTGGGACCACAGGTACATGTCACCACACCTACCTAATGTAAAATTTTTTTTTTAGAAACAGGGTCTTACTTTGTTGCCTAAACTGGTCTTGAACTCTGGCCTCAAACGATCCTCCTGCCTTGGCCTCCCACAATATTACCTTATTCGTTACCTTCAGTAACTAATCTTAACTGCTAACTCTTTAAAAAGATTTAGATTTTTATTATATTTAGAAAAGGACATTTGTCACACAAGGTAAAATATTCTAACTATTAAATGGCATCAGAGCTTAGCTTCTTTGACCTTTAGTATGGCTTAATCTGGCCATCCAGACTGTGTCTTTTCTTCTTTGCTTATCACTGTCTAGTATGTGACTGGGCACTTATTGAACTTTTTTTTAAACGTTTGTTGATTAGTGAATGTTCTAACTTGAACGGATTAATCATCCATCTTTGTACCACTTGGCTGAGAGCATCATTCTGCCATTAGACTTTGTTCCTTTCCAAAACTCAATTTTAAATTTAATTATTCTGAAGATATTAATAAGAATCAAATAATTGCTAAATTAGAAACTAACTTTAATGAGACTTGCCATTTTTCCAATTTGAAAAACAATAGCATTTAAAGACCACTATGTGGCCGGATCTCGTGGCTCAGGCCTTTAATCCCAGCACTTTTGGAGGCTGAGGTGGGTTGATCACTTGAGGTCAGGGGTTCAAGACCAGTTCGAGACATGGTGAAACCCTGTCAGACATGGTGGCATGTGCCTGTAATCCCAGCTACTTGGGAGGCTGAGGCAGGAGAATGGTTTGAACGCAGGAGGCAGAAGTTGCAGTGAGCCAAGATCGCACCACTGCACTCCAGCCTAGGCAACAGAGCCAGACTCAGTCTCAAAAAAAAATAAAGACCACTTTGTTTAATACCTTGACTATATCCTTTTTTTTTGAGAAGTTAGTTATGTTTATAAACAAATTTTTATCAGCAAACCAGGAGAATTTCATCTGTGAGTCTGATTTTGGGGATGGAAAAGTGAAGAAGTGTTTTTCTACCTTTATTTTTGAATTGGTTTAGTTCTACCAGAAGATGGCATTATATCCTTCTGAACAGCATTTTTCAAATGATTTGAAATAACCTTGCATTTTAGATTGCAAATAGAATAAAATTAGACTCATCTCAACAAATATTTGAGTGTTTTTCTAAGAAAGCAAAAGTCATTACAATCTAATCTGTGTTAAACTGGAAAACTGCAAGTTGTTTTTCCTTATCTTTCTTTGTCTTGTTTTTAGGGCTATTCCTTTGTTGCTCCTTCCATCCTATTCAAGCGTAATGCAGCTGTCATAGACCCTCTTCAGTTTCACATGGGAGTTGAACGTCCTGGAGTGACAAATGTTGCCAGGAGTGCAATGATGAAGGTATATAGATGTGGTAACTTATATGACATATTTGTAGGTTTCGTGAGTGTTTAAATACCAACTCTAATTAATGTTCTTAAGTCTAGTAATTCAATAAAGTGCAATTTTAACAGTGGGATACAGCACTGTTTTCCCTAGAATATTAACGTCAAGTTGAATGAGCTTCTTTTTACAATTATAGAGAATCATGTATCTTAAATAATTGTGTAGATGAAAATAGAAATTACCTATAAAGTAAGATGAATTTTAGATTATAAATGTATTCTATTCCTGTTTATTAATATTAATGATTTTATTTTACTCTACGATTTTATTGATCCCTTGTGTATTACTGACATTTTCTGAAGTTAAATGATGTTGATTTCTTAACAGGACTCTCCATTCTATCAACACTATGACCTAGATTTGAAGGACAAACCACTGGGAGAAGGTAGTTTTTCAATTTGTCGGAAGTGCGTGCATAAAAAAAGTAACCAAGCTTTTGCAGTCAAAATAATCAGCAAAAGGTATGATCATTTATAATATAATATTATTTCTTATGTATTCATGAATTCTGTAAATTAAGAGATATTTATTTAAAATGAAACCAGTATTATATTGTAAGGCTTTTTTACCTATAGGTTTAACCACTTGGCTCATCAGTTGGTCTATTATATTTTTAGCTCTAATTGATATTTGCTGATAAAGTAATCCATTTTAGACATGCGTCATAGTCTTATTTGCTTTTGAGTTTAGAGAAAACGTCTTTGTGACAGTGACATATTTAATCAGCCTCACTTAGTGATTTTGGCAGCTGGTGCCATTTCTACTAGTTGTGTATTTGAAATATTTTTCTCTAAAATTATTTAGCAAGCTACTGATAGCTTTGAGAGCCATCTAGTTGTTTTGGTAACTGATGATTATTGTTAAGATTGCATATTCTTATTGCTAAATTGTCAGGCAAATAGAGCATTCATTTCCTCATATGATTTGTACTTTTCTGACTCAGAAATAATAATTTTCTCCAGAATGTTACTTTTTCTGGTGTGTGGTATAATTCATTACTTTCATGGAAACCTCATTACAGTATATGGTAGCATGTATATTCTGAATGCACTGTAAATAAAACTAAATTAGTCTTGGGGCAGTACTGATGTAAAAGCTTTCTTGAAGAGACATGTGGGCGCTAAGTGTCTCATCTTGCAGGATGGAAGCCAATACTCAGAAGGAAATAACAGCTCTGAAACTCTGTGAAGGACACCCCAATATTGTGAAGTTGCATGAAGTTTTTCATGATCAGGTATCCTACTTTTTTTTTTTTTCCTATGTGTACTAATTCACTTACAAGGTTGTACTTTTCACCAGTTTTATTGGTGCTACTGGGTCAGAGTCAGGGATATAGAACATCACCCAACCACCAGAAAGGGCAGAGAAACCACCCTCCCAAACCCTCCCCAGCCACACACTGTTTCCCAACCCCAAATCAGGTTATCCCTTCACTTCTCATGCTTTTCTCACTCAGCAGTTACTACCTATGACAGGAAGACGGAGGGACAGGAGCTCAGTGGTGCAGTCACTAGCTACAATGTGCTTGTTGCCAATGCTGCTGCTACCCACCATAACTTAATCCTGGAATACTTCTCCGGACTCAGGAATTCTGAGCCTCCAACTTCCCTTTCACTTATAGAATAGAACTGAGAGAGTCTGGAGCCTAATTAATGCAAGCTAAAGGACAAATAGGAAGCAGAAAGCAAAGATACTCCTTTTATCTTCTAGCTCCAGGTGGTAAATTCTGCTGAGAACCCTGGCCAGATCATGCTGCCCCCTCTTCTGCTCTCAGTCTTGCTTTGCAACAGGAGCTATGGGAAGACACCAATGCATCCAGTTCGTGTCTGCTAACCTCACACGTGACAAAAATTGCTCCATTACACTATTCTCTGCCCCCGAGACCAGGTGGGGTGATGCAGTCCTACTTAAGACAACTTGGAGGCACAAGAGAATGAACCAATCCTGAATGTGCTTTGTCCTAATTTTACCAATGAAGAAACTGAGATTTGGAATGGTCATAAAACTTGTCCAAGGTCACATAGCACGTCAATGACGAATCTAATAAGGAGAACCTGTACTCCAGTTCTGGGCTCTGTCTGTTGTGCTCTCATAATATCTGTGACCTAGGATCAATGGGGGCCAGTTCTCTACCACACTGAAATATCCTTGAGTGCTATTGCCAGGAATGATACATCATGGTGAGACCAGGCAGCAGCAGCAGTAGCACCATAGCCACAATAGCTGCTCCATTTATTGTCACATATCTTGTGTGGTCTAGGTCCTGTACCAGGCACTCTGCATGTATTACCTTATTCAGTCCTTACCATAGGTCCATGAGGTGAGAAAATGGACACTCACGGAAGTTAAGTAACAGGTCTCACAGTTGGTAAGTGTGATAAGGCCGGAATCTGAATCCACACAGTCCAACTTCAGAGCCCAACAAGCTTTTACTTACTTTGCACTACTGCCTTAGGGAAGGCAGAATCACATCTGGCAGTAAGCATCCCAAAATGGCATCATCCTCTACTCACTCTTTGGTTCTTATAGTCAGAAAAGAAATGCCACTGAAGCAAGGACTCAGGGAACTGCTGTCCCTGATCCTGTACTTCCTCTTGCCTCATCAAGCCACTCAACACAAGAGGAGGTAATGAGTCCCCTGGCCACGAAGGTGCTTAAGAAGAGGCTCACTAGACAGTCTCCTGTTGAAGATGACATAGAGGAAATTGACATCATTCGAGGAATCAATGGATGATCTTAGATGCTCTCCTCCGGATTAGCAACTGTGCCCCTGACTACATCCCAGAAAAGATATTTGATCTCTGACCTTCAGACTAACATCAGGTCCCACGAACAACATTTCTCATTTTTTATTTATGTCACAAATTAAGTAGATGTTTTGCTATTTATATATTCAGGAGTTACTAAAATATAAATTGTCACATGATGTAATCCTATACAAACTAGTATAAATACATTATCAATCTAATACACGGTTGTAGTGTATCTTGGGTTTTCTCATAATGGTGGCACGGTTGCCTAGATCATCCTTGTATCCAGTCTTTTCTTCAACTAATGGGTGAAACTGGTTATAGTGGGTCTTCATCCTTTGTGCAGTAGTGTAGTTCATTTTGTGTGCCATGATATGCATTTCACATACTCCATGAGTTTGCTATTGCTGCTGCAACAAATCACCACAAACTTAAAACAATACAAATTTGTTATCCTGCAGTCTGGAGGTCAGAAGTCCAAAATCAGGCCCATTGGCTTAAAGTCAAGCTGTCACCAGGGCTGGTTCCCTCTTGAGCAGAACCAGGTGCACAGCAGGAGGTGAGCGGCAGGTGAGCCAGCATTAGCACCTGAGCTCCACCTTTTGGCAGATCAGCAACAGCATTAGATTCTCACTGGAGCACAAACCCTGTTGTGAACTGCGCATGGCGAAGGATCTGAGTTGCAGCACTCCTTATGAGAATCCAGTGCCTGTCCCACCCCACTACTGCCTCCCCTCGTCCGTGGAAAAATTGCCTTCCATGAAAGCACTTCCTGGTGCCAAAAAAGTTGCAGGCCTGGCTCACGCCTGTAATTCCAGCACTTTGGGAAGGCGAGGCAGGTGGATCACTGGAGGTCAGGAGTTAGAGACCAGTCTGGCCAACGTGGTGAGACCCTATCTCTACCAAAAAATACAAAAAATTAATCAGGCGTGGTGTTGTGCTCCTGTAGTCCTAGCTACTCTGGAGGCTGAGGTGGGATAATCCGTTGAACCTGGGAGGCAGAGGTTGCAGTGAGCCAAGACTGCACCACTGCACTCTAGCCTGGGTGATAGAGTGAGACCCTGTCTCAAAAAAATAAGAAAAAAAAGAAAAAAAAATGTTGGGGACCACTGCTCTGAAGGCTCTAAGGGACAACCCATTTACTTGCCTTTTGTAGCTTCTAGACACCCCCCAACATTTCCTTGACTGTGAGCCTTGCATGCATCACTCTAAGATCTTTCCTCCAGGGTCTTATCTCATACTGGTAACTCTGATGAGTAATTCAGGATAATCTTGCATCTCAAGATCCTTAATTTACTAATCACATCTCAAAAGGTCCTTTTGCCATCCTTCTAAGGTAACGGCCACAGGTTCTGTACATTAGGACATGAACATCTTTGGAGGGCCATCATTCAAGCTCTACCACACATACATTTTCTCATTGTTATCTGTATTTTATTGAAAAAGATACTAGAATTAATAAGATAAAGTAGCATCCCAAGATCATGAATAAATAATAGAATTGACTTTCAAATCCAGGTTGAACTCTAAATCTATTCTTACACCACTACGAGTATTGCCTTACATCTTTTTTAAAGCTCACCAGCCTATATTTGTAGCAGACCTGCAAGCTTGACTTTATCTGATGTAGAAACTCAGTTTGATGTCTAGTAGGCTGGGAGCAATTTTCTTTTTAGAAGGGTCGTTCACTCTACAATTTGTTTAATGTGTTCAGGATAATGTACTTACAATTATCTTTTTTATGAAGCAGTTTATTCTAAGTTTTGCTAATACAGAAAGAAACATTTTGTTTGTGAAGTGATGTTGGCCTTATAATGCATGGCACCTGAATTCAGTATATTGCCATGATATCTTTTTCTAAACCATTTGTGTTCATTTGAGAGCTGATTAAGTCCTTTCTTTTTTTCTTTTTTGAGCTAGGGTCTCACTCTGTCACCCAGGCTGGAGTGCAGTGGCGCAATGACGGCTCCCTGCAACCTTGACCTCCTGAGCTCAAGTGATTCTCCCACCTCAGCCTCCTGAGTAGCTGGGACTATAGGTGTGCACCACCATGTCTGGCTAATTTTTGTTATTATTTTTTGTAGAGATGAGGTCTCACTATGTTGCCCAGGCTGGTCTTGAGCTCCTGGGCTCAAGCAGTCCTCTCACCCTGGCCTCCAAAAGTGCTGGGATTATATAGCCCTTTGCTTTTTGATAGTTCCTTTGGAAATTATGCATTCTGACAGAAGAGGGCCAGGGGTGGGGAAGAAAAAGCATGGTAAACATATAATTTACAAAGTAACTATTAAGATAATACTACTGGGATTAAAGCAAAAACCCATAGTGAGTTATAGGTATTTGTAATGAATATTAACAGGAACCCTGAAACTAATCTGTTGAGTCCTAACAGGAGGTTCAAAATGACAATATCAAAGAATACCTTTTTAAACTTTTATGTTGTAATTTATTTGTAGAGACGGAGTCTCACTGTGTTGACCAAGCTGGTCTTGAACTCCTGACCTCAAGCAATCCTCCCACCTCAGCCTCCCAAAGTGCTGGGATTACAGGTGTGAGTCACTGAGCCCGGCCTCAATACCTTTTTTAAAAGATTAATTTACCATTGAATGGGTGTGCCAGGCTTCACGTGGGCAGTTGCCCATTCTACTCAGTCAGTATTCAGATTCTATATTATTTAAAGCAAGTGACTTCATATTATTGTCACGTTATTGTCAGCAGTTTAAAAAGAAAGATGTGTAAACTTGATAAGGGAGGGTTGGAATGGAATTCAAATGAAAGAATTAGCTGGGTGCAGTTGCACACCGATAGTCCCAGCTCATCGGGAGGCCTGAGATGAGAGAATCCCTTGAGCCCAGGAATTCAAGGGCAGATTTCTTTTTAGAGACTTCATCTCTTAAAACAAAACACTGCAAATGAAAGAATTCATCACAGAAGGGAAAAAGGATATACAGTATAAAGATTTCACTGCAGTACTTGAAATTTTCCATTACCAAAATAGAATTATAAAACAGCTACATTATCTTTCAGCTCTTTCCTCTAAGATACGAGGATTGCCACTGATTATTTTAACAAGGGATTATTTAAACGTGTTGGTGGTAGATAGTCAATAAATGTTTTATATGTTAATAGACTTCTGTGCTTCAGAAAGGCCCTCCACATTATTCTTTTTCTTTTCTAGCTTCACACATTTCTGGTGATGGAACTTCTGAATGGGGGAGAACTGTTTGAACGCATTAAGAGAAAGAAGCACTTCAGTGAGACGGAAGCCAGCTATATCATGAGGAAACTTGTTTCAGCTGTCAGCCACATGCATGATGTTGGAGTGGTGCACAGAGATTTGAAACCTGAGGTACAAAATCACTTGATCTCTTATGTAATTCAATCTAGCATCATTATTAAAGATCTCCCAAACATGTGGGAAGTTTCTGGGGAGGTTTCCTTATTTTTTTACTTTTCAAAGCTGTAAAATAGATAATTGAAAATATGTTTCTTGGATTTTTTTTTCTTTTATATTTCAGTCTAAAATAAATTTGTCTTTGTTTATTTTTTGCCAGCGGATCATCTTGAAGTTATATTTGTAAGTGGGAGAGCCTTTTATGGAAAAAATACTTTATGCAACAGTTGTGGACTAAAAATAGCAATGGAAATTTTTATAACAGAAAATAATATCTCTTACATATAATTTTAGAGGGTTTTTCCCAAATGATGTATTTTGAAAACTTATTTTTTACATTTGTAATCAAATTGGTTAGCTCATGAATAAAAATATATATAATTGTATTCTAAATACTTAAAGAATTGTCTTCGTTTAATTAGTTATGCCATCTTTCTATGTGCTTTTCTATGATCGTGCTATAATATTTATAGAACTATATGTAGCAATGCAAAAGTAACAGCTATTTATATATCTCCTCTTATGGAAGGCTAATAAAGAACATTCTCTTAGAATGATCCCTTTTTAGTATCAAAACTATGAAAATTCTCTCCTTTTAGAAAATCAACAAAATAATTAAAATTGAAAAACAAAAATCAATACTGTATAAAAAGATAATGATGACTCATCCTTTACCATATACAATATTATACATATTCTCTCCCAAATAGAACTTTAATTATCATGTGATTATAATACATTCTCGAGTATATATAAAATATTAACTTATTTGATGTTCCTTTTGTGATTAAGCCACAAACAAATATTTCTCTAAAAGTGCTGTTTCTGCCTTTTACTTCAGTATCTTGAATTATTAGAAAAAGAGGATGTTTTCAAATGGAATTCTTTTCTTCTCTACTTCACATGGAAAAGAAAATTTTTAATGGAATTCTGTGCATTAAAGTATATTTGGTTTATTCCTTTCATGTATTTAAACTTCTGTCTGTGTATTTTCTATTACCATTATTCACATTACTAGTAATTAATCAAAAGTAAATTCTGTTTTATTAACTTGCAACTATGATAGCTCCCCCCTGCTTCCTTCATCATAGTTCTCACTCTCCTACATAACGCCCACTGAAAATATGGTGCTCTGTACATTGGAGATTAGCTGTCTATTTTTAAATGTGAAAGCACACCACTTAAATGTTTTCTTGATAGACAAGGAACAAGCATGTAGTTTTTTTTAATTGAAAAGATCTGTTCCATGACTGTATAGAATTCATTTTCACATGTTTTATTCTTTGATAACTGGCCATCTGTCACCTCATGAGTCTCAAATGAGGCAACTGTCCTCTCTTGCAGAATTTAGATTTGCATTCCTCCTTTCCTGATAAAAAGATACTTATGTAGCTTAATTCTTCTTATTTATTATAAGGCTTTTCTTTGAAATACTCACTTGAAATGGGGCAGAACTATCAGATTATTTAGGACATTCTACTACAATTATAGTTCTAAATCAAACTAGATTTTGGAGAAATGAAAATGTACCTTTGAACTAACATTTTCATAATAAAATGTCTTTCACTTTGACTTTTAAATGGCAGTGTATATTATTTCTAAACTAAAAGTTTAGTATTTTTCCCATGTGCACTTTAAGGTCTGATTATCTTTCTTTTGGTAGGAAGCTATGTGGATTCATTTTCTGCATAGGCAGAATCGTAAGTCTAGGTAAGAGTCAGATAAATTTAGAGGCTGGCTGACATTCTTAGTAAGCTGCCTTGTATTTTTTAAACTTGTCCCATACTCTTCTGAGATTAAGAAAAGTTGCATACATCAAATTTGTTTCAGGCAGAACTTGAGATGAGGATAAAAGGGGATTGAATGGTTACTTCCCACCATTGCTGACTAGGCACACCCTTCTCCATGTAGAACTGTCTGTAACTTTGAACTTTGAGAGAAGAGGTAGGCAAGTGAGCAGTGTTTCTCAATTTTACATATTCAGGATAGGAGGAGTGGATTAAAGTCACCAAATTAAAGTGATTGCCACGTCCTCTCACTTCGTCTGCTTTAAGAACTGAAATTGGCTAAGCGCGGTGGCTCATGCCTGTAATCCCAGCACTTTGGGAGGCTGAGGCAGGCGGATCACTTGAGGACAGGAGTTTGAGACCAGTCTGGACAATATGGCAAAACCCCATCTCTGTTAAAAATACAAAAAAAATATTAGCCAGGCATGGTGGCAGGCGTCTGTAATCCCAGGTACTTGGGAGTCTGAGGCACCAGAATCACCTGAATCCAGGAGGTGAAGGTTGCAGTGAGCCAAGATTGCACTACTGCACGCAGACAGAGCAAGACTGTCTCAAAAAAAAAAAGGAACTAAAATCAGGGAAGCCCTTTTCCAGTCTTAATATAGAATAAACATAGTCATTTCCAAAGACTTAGCAGGGTCAATGAAGACAAGGCCAGCTGTGGTTCATTCAGTTGTTCTGTGTGGACAGTGCTTTGCACTGCAAAGGGACTCAGGTGTTACTTGCTGAAAGACTTCTCCCAAGCACACATCCATCAACCCCGGCTGTGACTTCAGTGTCACAAATTCATGATTAAACACTGTATGCTAGAAAATTTAAGACAATTTTTAGTTAATATTTTTGTTTTTCTTTCCACCCACTTTATTCATTTTCAGATGGAAGGCTTAGGAGATTTTTTTTCTTTGCATCAGTGATACCTTCTATAATGTGTTTTATTTCAGCTAGAATAGCATTAACAAAGCAAATGATGTTCCAGAGCTGGGAATAATTTAATGACTATGAAGGTATAGTGGATTTTGTTAGGATGCGTAAAGACGATATAATCAGATTTCGCTTACTTTCAGTACTAGCTTAATGTACTTATTAAAATAATTTGTGCATCAGTAAGTATTTATTAATCATGTGATAAATACAAAAGTAGTACTACAGAGTCTTAGTGATCAAGAAGCCTTAGTGGATGAATGATTCAAAATAATAATGTTTTCTGAATATTTGAGGGATAATATCCCTAAGTATCAAAATATGTTTAAATATTAGCTGTTGGAGAAAATATTTCTGAAATGTAATGGATATCTCCACCATGTCGTCTTCAGTAGGCAATACTAGATATTATATAGCTATTTTATTTATGACTTTGTTCAATGAACACATATTTACCAAAGCACCTACTCTATGTCTGTGCCAGGCCCTGGGGTAGGGTCAAAAATAAGGTAGACACATAGTCCCTGTCCTTATGGAACTATGACATAATGGGGATGAAGACATTAAACTAACAATACAGAGGTGGTAAGTCCCAGAAAGGAAAAGTAAATAGGCTTAGCAAAAAATATTAAAAGTTTTCACTTCAGTTTGGTAGGATGGTTAGGAAGGTATCTCTAAATGAGGAGTAGATGAGGGGAGGTAGGTTGGTGGAGGAAGCAGAAGACAAACACGAGCAGAGGGAAAAGCTTAGACAAAGGGTCTGACATCAGAAGAGGCATGGTGCAGTTGAAAAATGTTTCACATGACATGGTAAAATTGAAATAATACCAAAAAGCATCAGGCAGAGAGCAGTAGTGCACTGATGTCCCGCCCTCGAGCCTCCCCATGAGACCTCTCTGCACATGAATCAACTATCAGTATACAAAGTATTACATAAATAGGACCAGCAAATCCCAAGACATGTCTAGTGAGAAACTAATGTAAGCATTGATATCTTGCAGAATTTATTGTTCACCGATGAAAATGACAATTTGGAAATTAAAATAATTGATTTTGGGTTTGCACGGCTAAAGCCACCGGATAATCAGCCCCTGAAGACTCCATGCTTCACCCTTCATTACGCAGCCCCAGAGCTCTTGAATCAGAACGGCTACGATGAGTCCTGTGACCTGTGGAGCTTGGGTGTCATTTTGGTGAGTCCTTTTCAATACAGTCATTAAACCTGCTCATTTCTTCGGTGTCCTCTGTCCTTATCTCGCTCTTCACTGTTTCCTTACATTCATGAAATAATTGGCAAAGTGGTTTCTTTTCTGTACAGCCAATTAGAGGCGTGATCGAATAGTATTTCCCTGTCTTAAAACTTGTATTAGAGAAAATGTAGGAATTTCTATGTTGGTTTATTTTGAAATGTTTAAGTTAGCTGTGTTTTATATCAATGAGAGTTAAAGGAACTATAGTATATATGTTTAAAGACACATACTGGACATAATGTGAAAATAGCAAAGTGATTCATAAATAGAAAAACATTTTTAAAAAACTGTTCTGTGAAGTTTCAGACTAAAATGTAGTTAAAGAATACCATTTAGGCTAAATTAACAAATAAATAGATAAAATTAGAAGTATTTCTACTACATAACTTAATGTGAGCATGCTTTTCACAAAATGTCCTTGGCTGCTGTGATTAGAAACAGAACATTAAACTAGAAAAATCTTGTGTTTTTTCCTCCAAATATCATTACTTTTTCTGCATATAATTTGTAATGCATGATCTTGGGAAATTTTCAGACAATACAGAAAGAAGGAACAAGGTGAAAATTACTCATAATCTTCTCATTGAGGGATGATATACCTCAAGCTCTCTCTCTCCCTTCAGCCCCTCCTCCCCTGTAGATATGCAGTCTTTACATCTTTCCACATGTTTTCTATACATATTTGAATTTTTTTTTTTTTTTTGAGACTGAGTCTGGTTCTGTCGCCCAGGCTGGAGTGCAGTGGCCGGATCTCAGCTCACTGCAAGCTCTGCCTCCCGGGTTTACGCCATTCTCCTGCCTCAGCTTCCCGAGTAGCTGGGACCACAGGCGCCCGCCACTTCGCCCGGCTAGTTTTTTGTATTTTTTAGTAGAGATGGGGTTTCACCGTGTTAGCCAGGATGGTCTCGATCTCCTGACCTCGTGATCCGCCCGTCTCGGCCTCCCAAAGTGCTGGGATTACAGGCTTGAGCCACTGCGCCCGGCCTGAATTTTTTAACAAATAAGATTATATTATACCTGTATTTTGAGTCTCTGAAACTTATTTAACCATTTATTTACTAATAAGCAGTTAGCATTTTTTTCATTTTTTCACTAATTATAAGCTACACAAATGAATATTTTTTTATATATGTGTTTGTGTTTTTCTCACCATTTCCTTAGGATAGATTCCCAGAAGAAGGGTATACACAACTTTCCTCTAACAAGTGTGCTTAGATTTCCTTCAAAAAGGTTTAACAGATTATGTTCTCATCAACTGTATGGGAGTACATTGGCTATCCATTTTCATCTGAAATGATATCCCATTGTGATTTTTTTTTTTTTTTGGAGACAGAGTCTCGCTCTGTCTCCCAGGCTGGAGTGCAGTGGCACGATCTTGGCTCATTGCAACCTCCACCTCCCGGATTCAAGCAATTCTCCTGCCTCAGCCTCCCGCATAGCTGGAATTACAAGTGCGCACCACCACGCCTGGCTAATTTTTGTATTTTTAGTAGACACGAGGTTTCACCATGTTGGTCTCAAACTCCTGACCTCAGGTGATGCTCCTACCTTGGCCTCCCATAGTGCTAGGATTACAGGCGTGAGCCACTGTGACCGACCTCTTTTATGAATTGCTCTTTACGAGCTTTGCTCATTTTCCTATGGGGAGATTTTTCTTACTGCATTTTAAAGCTCTATTAAATTCTTTCATTCTTTGACATTAATATTGGAAATGTTTTTTCTGGTATGTCACTTGTTTTAAAAATTTGTTTATGGTAATATGGGATTTTGATTTTGTTTTTAGAAAGATTTAAACAGAGAAGATTCTTAAATGTCTGTGTAGTAAGATATGTCAGCCTTTTTCTTTATGATATCTGGCTTTAATGTCAGATTGTCACTCCACTCCTATGCCCAACCCAAGTTTATAAAAATATTCTCCTAAATTTTTCTCTAGAATTATTTTATGTTTATACTTAAATCTGGGATTTATTTTGGTGTCAGTTGTTTTCCCCCAATGAGTAGTCACTTGTCCCTACAGGATGGTTCTTTTATTTTTAAGTTTTATATAGTTTTTATCTCATTGGTTTTCAGTCATCATTTATAATTTTCAAACTAAACTTACATATTTGTGAATAACATTTTAAACAAAAATAAACTGACTTATAGATCTGAGTTTCATTGAAGGACTTAAATTGAAGACATTTTTGTTAGTAGCATGTCTTAAAGATTAATCTAAATAAAAAAGAGACTTTCATTTTTAGTAATAGTAATTTCTTTTCTCTTGCAAAAGGCCAATTATGTCCATCAAGCTCTTCAAGGTTTTAAAAGGCGGTTTTTTTTTTTTTTTTTGAGTCTCACTCTGTCACCCAGGCTGGAGTGCAGTGGCTCGATCTCGGCTCACTGCAAGTTCCACCTCCCAGGTTCACGCAATTCTCCTGCCTCAGCCTCCCAAGTAGCTGGGACTACAGGCGCCCGCCACCATGCCTGGCTAATTTTTTGTATGTTTAGTAGAGATGGGGTTTCACCATGTTAGCCAGGATGGTCTTAATCTCCTGACCTCATGATCCGCCCGCCTCGGCCTCCCAAAGTGCTGAGATTACAGGCGTGAGCCACTGCACCCGGCCTAAAAGGCAGTCTTAAACATGCAGCAAGGTGTTTTGGAGCCTCTGAATTCCTTAACTATAGAAATAACTTTGTGTAATGACATGGATGGAAGCCGTGCTTCTCTCTAAATCTAATTGTCAAATGATATCACAGGATAATTACAATATCCAGTCTGTGGGAAGTTCTACTGAACAAACAACCCAGTTTCTTTAACAAATAAATGGTAAGAAAAGGTAAACTGAGAACTTACAGATGAAAAGACACATAAGAAACAATATTTGCATCTTACCGAAATCCTGATTCAAGCACTTTCTAATTTAGATTCTGGTTTATTTTTGTTTGTTTTTTTTTCTTTGCGATAGTCTCCCTCTGTCGCCCAGGCTGGAGTGCAGTGGCACCATCATAGCTCACTGCAGGCTCAAGTGATCCTCCTACCTCAGCCTCCTGAGTAGCTGGGACCATAGGTACATGTCACCTTACCGCAGCTAATTTTTTTTTTAATAGAAACAAAGTCTTGCTTTGTTGCCCAGGCTGCTCTCAAATTCCTAGCTTCAAGTGATCGTCCTGCCTCGACCTCTCAAAATGCTAGGATTACAAGCATGAGCCACAGTGCCTAGCTTAATTTAAATTCTATTTATTAAATTCAAATTAAGTGTAATTCATATAAATCTAATTTATATACTCTATATCACGACAGCTAGGGAAATTTGAATATTGATTAGATGTTGAATAATACAAAGGAATTACTACTAATTTTTTTTAGATGTGATACTGGCATTGTGGTTGTAGTTTTAAAAGTGCTTGCGTTTTTAAACCGTCTGTAATCCCAGCACTTTGGGAGGCCAAGGTAGGAAGATTGTTTAAGCCTAGGAGCTCAAGACCAGCCAGGGCAACACAGTGGTACCCAGTCTCTAAAAGAGAAAAAAAAATTTTTTAATTAGCTGGGCATGGTGGCTTATGCCAATAGTACCAGCTACTTGGGAGGCTGAGGTGAGAGGATCACTTGAGCCCAGAGGTTGAGACTACGGTGAGCCGTGATCATGCTACCACACTCCATACTGGGTGACAGAGCAAGACCCTGTCTCCAAAAAACAAAAGTCCTTGCTTTTTAGAGGTACATGATAAAATACTTAACAGATGAAAATGAACAAAAATAATATCTTCATTAAACTATCAGAAAAAAAGAGTGCTTTGCTAACTTTTCCATATAAGTGAATGCATATCTAGATACAAAGGCTGACTTATCCCATAAGAAGCACAAAATTTGTTTGAAGTCTCCTAATTTGTTTTAGAAATAAATGGAAATTTTATATTTTACATCTAATAAACGTGTATGTGGATATTTTAAAATGAAAACAAATTATATTGTCCTCATTGAATAAAATAAATACTCCAGGAATATACATCATGTAGTATTATGAGGTTTTGATTACAACCCATTATACCTGATGGATATACAATCCCTGTCTGAAATGTATAGGACTTTAATAAAAATAGAGCTTACATGGTAATATTAATCTGCTTAGGTTGCTGTAACAGAATACCACAAACTAGGCAGCTTAAACAACAGAAATTTATTTTCTCACAGTTCTTGATGCTGGGTAGTCTTAAGATCCAGGTGCCAGCAGGATTGGTGTCTGGTGAGGGCCCTCTCCTTGGGTTACAGATGGCCACCTGCTTGCTGTGTCGGCACACAGCCTTTCCTTGGTCTGCACACTCACAAAGAGAATGTGTCTGTCCCTTTAAGGATACTAATTCTCTTGGATTAGGGGCCTACCCATATAACCTCATTTAACCTTCATTACCGCCCTAAAGGCCCTGTCTCCAACTACAGTCAAATGGAGAGCTGGGGCTTCAACATATGAATCCCCAGGGGCGGGAGGAGAACACAAACGTTCAGTCCACAGCACACAGTATTTAGAGAAAGTAGGATACAATATATAACATACCTGTGAGGTGTCATAAAATTTTGTTTAAAGTGTTTTGTTCTCAGGACCTTATTTTTTTATTTTTTCCCAATATTTTATTTTGAAAATTTTAAAGCTAGAGAAAATGTGAGAGAATAGTACTATGAACATCTGACATTTTGCTGCATTTCCTTTTTCTTTCTAATTATTTCTAGTGTGCATGCTGTCTCTGTATGTATGTGTATATGTACGTATGTGAGTATATACAATACATATATACAGACATACATGTATATATGTAGATATAGAGCTATACCTTGCTATACCATTTGCAAACAATTTGCAGACACAAAGTTATCCTTAACAGATATTTCTAGATAATCAACTAAAATTTTAAGAGCTTGGAACTGAGAGGATCGTAAAGTTTGTTTAATTCTACCTCTTCCAGAAAAG